TAATTTTTTCAGTTAAATGTAGCATCATATATATGTATACATGTATATACATATGAAATAAAACAATGCAATACTTATCTGTTTTGGAAGAAGAAGGATTTCAGGCAATGGAAGTAATAAAAGGAATTACCAATGAACTCATGATAAGTTTGACTAGTTCAGGTACATGGAAATTAAAATACATAATATATACATACATACATACATACATACATATATACCACAAAATAAAGAACAAAAAAGAATTAGAGCCTGTATTAGGGTTCTCCAGAGTCACAGAACCTATAGAAGATATACCTATACAGATATATCTATAGATATCAAATTAGAGAGAGATCATTATAAGATATTGGCTCCCATGATTATGGAGCCTGAGAAGTCTGCAAGCTGGATTCCCAAGAAAGCCAGTGGTGTAGTTTGAAGGCCTGAGAGCTTGAGAGCCTTCCAGCCTGGGTCTAAAGGCCTGGGAAACAGGTGTGCAGGAGAAGACCAATGTTCCAGCTCAAAGTGTCAGAGAGAGAATTCAACCTTCCTCTGCCGTTTTGTTCTATTCAGGCCCTCAGTGGACTGGATGATGTCCATCCACTTTGGGGAGGACCACCTGCTTTATTCAGTTCACCAATTCAAATGCTAATCTCTTCCAGAGACATCCTCACAGACACACCTAGAAATTATGTTTAACCAGTTATCTGGGCATTCTGAGGCCCAGTCAAATTGACATATAAAATTAACCATCACAGTCCCAAATTGGAAAAATCAAAAGGAAAATGACAGGGGAGCATTGTAATAACCTATAAACATTTACTATTATGAATATAATAGAAATTAATATTATCTATATGAGCAATACTTGGGTCTGACTGGACAGATGGTTAAAGGATTTGAGCAGATGGTTTGCATAAGGGAGAATACAAATAGTGAACACACACTTGGGAAAATGTTTATCTTCCCTAATAATTAAAGAGTTGTAAATTAAAATAGCCCAATATGCTACCTCATAAATATTAAATTATTAATAATAGATTTTAAAAACTAAAGTTAATACTGCTTTGTGGACTCAGATATACTCATACATTGCTTGTAGAAATAGTGGCATTTTTCTGGAAACAAATCTGACAACATGTATCAGCTATCACAGAATTCATTATATCCTTCAGTTTGACAAATCTGCTTTGTGGAGCAAATCCTAAGGAAATAATTCAATAAGGAGAAATACCCTATTTTTGTAAAGATGTTTAAAGCTGTGCTTTTCATAATGGTAGAAGAATCCTGAATCATTAACATCCAGGAAATGCTTAAGTAAACCTTGACATAGTAATACAATGAAACATTAGGTAGCCATTCAGACATCAAATACAAAAATTATCTGGACTTATGGAATGATCTACATGAAATAATGTCAAGGGGAAAAAGAACACAAAACAGTTGATACCTAAGAATATTAACTTGTGAAAGTATGCATTACAAAACTGATCTGTTGCAAAGAAAATATTTTTTTGCTTAAAAGATACTTTTTTGTACTTTTCAAATAATTTTCTGCTTAATTTCATAAACATTTCACATTACTTATAGATAAAATAGAAACTAGAAGTGTGCAAAAATATTCTTGATCACTATCTCAGAAATCTTTACTGATAATATTTTGGTGTATATTTTTTCAATCTTTTTCATATATACTGTAGTTGATATATTTTAATTACTTCCTCTTCTTGAACAATACCCTTTATTTTTTTTAAGAATGTGATTTGGATAGGATGGATCTAGAACAAGGTTTGTCAACCTCAGTACTTGAGACATTTGGGGCCAAATAATTCTTTGATGTGTGTTGGATGGAGGGAGGGAAATTGTCCTGTGCATTGTAGGATGTTTAGCAGCATTTCTGGCCTCTACCCACTAGGTGCCAGTAGCATCCTCCTCAATTGTGACATTGCCAAACGTTCCTGGGGCAAAATCACCACTGAGGATACAGATGACTATTCTTTAGTGTGTTTTAAAATCTCACATAAGAGTTGTCATAGTGTTGGTATGCTTTTACAACTTGATTTTATCATTCAGTATTTTATTTTTAAAAGATTTGTTGAGAGACAGATAGGTCGATAGATAGATAGTTCATTTATTTTGACTGCTGTACAGACTGTATTGTATTAATAACCAGAGGCTAGCCATTACTCTATTTAGAGACAGCAGGGTATTGCCTTTCTTTCTTTCTTTCTTTCTTTCTTTCTTTCTTTCTTTCTTTCTTTCTTTCTTTCTTTCTTTCTTTCTTTCTTTCTTTCTTTCTTTCTTTCTNTTCTTTCTTTCTTTCTTTCTTTCTTTCTTTCTTTCTTTCTTTCTTTCTTTCTTTCTTTCCTTCCTTCCTTCCTTCCTTCCTTCCTTCCTTCCTTCCTTTCTTTCTTTCTTTTTCTCCTTCTCCTTCCTTCTCCTTCTCCTTCTCCTTCTCCTTCTCCTTCTCCTTCTCCTTCTTCTTCTTCTTCTTCGTTAAATTTATTCGGTGACAATGGTTAGTAAAATTACATAGGTTTAAGGTATACAATTGTATTATACATCATTTATACATCACATTGAGTGACAGCAGGATGTTTTCAGTCTTCAATTATTACAAACCATGCCACCATGCTACAGATGAACAATTTTGTGCAACCTTCTTGTCATGCAAGATTTCTCTAGAGTAGACATCTAGAAGTGGACCTACTGGATCAAAGAATAATGCATCTTTACCTTTCCTGGGATTTGCCCTATTGCTCTTTTAAGAAGTGGTACCAACAATGTATACGACTGTTTCCCCATATCTTCACCAATATTTAATATGAGATTTACTAATTTTTGCCAATATGATGGGTACAAAATGGGGTTTTATTAATTTTTAATTTTCATTTCCCTGATTGTTAGTCAGGATGAGAATCTTTTCAGACATTTACTAGCTTCTAAAGTTTTTCTGTGAATTGCATGTATTCTTATCTTTTTCTTTTTGATTGTATCTATTTTTGTTACAGCCTTGTTGGAATTCTTTGTTATTATGCATACCAATTATTTGTTGGTTTTATGGGTTTCAATTATTTTCCCCTGTTATGTAAATTGGGTTTTTACTTTGCTCATGATATCTTTTGTATAGAAACTTTAATTTTTAAGTAATCAAATTTATCTACGTTTACCTTTATAGTTTGTGTATGCCCTTTTATTATGTTCATTCCCATATGTATGTGTGTGTGTATTCTATACTATTGTCATCAAAATGTGTGTCTCTTTTGCAACTTGTTTTTCTTATTCAATATTTTGTTTTAAAATTTTACCTGTATGGGTTTTTAAAATCTATTTTATTTATCTTAATGTATTGTATCATATGTAATAATGATATTTTCTTATGTTATCATCTAAAACTTACAGTTTTACTTCTCACATTTAAGTTTTAGTTCACCTGAAATTAATTTTTGTGTATAGTGTGAGGCAAGGATCTAATTTTGTCTTTTTCTACATGGAAAGTTAATTGTCAGAACCATTTATTAAGTGTGCATTTATTAAACTATTTAAAAGTTTATTCTGTTCCATTGGCCTAACTAAAGTTAATTGTGAAGATGGTAAATAGTTCATAAAGCCAATTAAAAATAATCTGTTATTTTCCTGATCTATCTGGTTCTGTATCCATATCAGGCTGGTACTTTTTTCATTGAGGTTCAGTTCCCCCTCCGGAGGACTGACAGACTTACTACTCAGAAGACTAGCATCATTTCAGGTATTCTGGGTTGGCCCAGGGAACTTTGGGTTAGTCTTTGATCTCCTGGGACATCTTGTCTCAAGCCCTAGACTATACTAATTTGTTTTCTTTCCTTAAAATGTGGAAACTTTTTTCTGCTTTCTGTGTTCCCCTGAGTCCTCTAATCTAAATTTGTTTCTGTGTTCTTAATGGGAGTCAGCCCTTATTTAACATTCTAGAATGATCCAGAGAGTTGAATTCTCACTCATAGTAATTTCCCTGTTAGTCACTTCTTCCACTCACTTTTCATGAGCCTTTTTGTTTACCTGTACAATACAGTTTCAGGACAGTTTCCACTGACTTTTTCTTGTATCTTTACAAGTACTCAAGCAGGTCCTTGAAACCCAAATATCACCTTCCTGTGGTGGTCTAGATTTTCCTCCAGTTGCATTTTGATTTCACTGGGTCAACTTAACAGGGCTTTCAGAGGAAACATCATTTGTGGCTTTGAACAGCTTCAGTAACTTCTTCAAAGTCATGGTGGCAAATATCTGAACATATTTACAGGAGATGGTGAATCTCCCCTCTCCAGATGGCTCGCCACAACAAGCTAATCCCGCTTCATGTTACTGGTAATTGAATTCTCCCCTGAGAAGGAAATTGTATGAGATCCATGAACATTTGATGTATGGATATTTCTAAACAGCCTGACTTGGAAAAGATTAAAACAGCCTTGTATTCCCAATCCCTCAGACCTCCTCACTGGCAGGACCCAGATTTTAATCTGCTCCAGGTGGCTAAACTCAGGAAGGTTCATAGTTCTCAGCATCTTCAATTAATGCCAAGTGTAATCGTAGTTGGCAGAATGCAGGGTGTTCTGGCACATTTAAGGGATGGGCATAGAACCTCTCTGCCAAGTCCTCAGAGTACTATCTTTTGGATTGCACTTTTCATAATCAAAAGCTGCCGTAATTAATGAGCTACAGACAATGGGTAATCCCCTACACTTAAAAATTAGAACCATGGGGGGAAAAAAGTAAGAGCAAATTATTCCACATAGCCATAGGTCTCTCAACCTCAAAAGCTTTGTGTGAGGCCTTCCTTTTAGGCCCTTTGCCATGCAGACAGCTGAGTCTGATTGAGCTGTGTTACATCTGCATGTGAGAGACTTTGTCTGCTCTGCATCGGTGTGTGTATTTGTTTTAATTTTGCTCATGAGTTCAGAGGCATTTGGAATTGACCATATTGAAAAGTAAAACAAAAGCATCGATATATTGGATTTGGGAAATAATCACATGACTGGACTCACCTTTGCCTGTTTGATTGGCTTCTGAGAGGCAATCTGAAGCAAGATGTCTCCAGAGCCCATTACAGGAACAAGTCTACAATGGAAGCTGTGACCCCACCTTCAGGAACTCACAAAAGTCCATCTTATACTCCAGGACTGAAAAGGAAGTGCTACCTCAGAAAAAATTAGGAGTTGAATGAATACTTTTCTTTAACGTCTGTTGTGAGGTTTAGAAAGTGAAGCTTCCTAAATTCCACTGGAAAAACAAGGAAATCAGAGTGACAAAGCAGATGAAGGTGAGATTAGTTGTATTTAATGCCAGTTTAGAAACACTACCAAGATGGTGGAGTAAAGAGTCACCTTTAGAAACTGTCATAAACTTACTTTTTTTTTTTTTAAAGATTTTATTGGGGAATTGGGGAGGGGAACAGTGTTGGGGAGTTGGGGAAGGGAACGTTGTATTTTTCCAGGACCCATCAGGTCCAAGTCAAGTTGTTGTCCTTCAATCTTAGTTGTGGTGGGCGCTAGCTCAGCTCCAAGTCCAGTCGCCACTTTCAATCTAGTTGCGGGGAGTGGGGGGGTGTAGTCCACCATCCCATGTGGGAGTTGATCTGGAAACCTTGTTGTTAGGAGTATGCACTCTCACCAGCTCAGTGGCAGCTCAGCCCGGGCGCAGCTCACTGGCCCATGTGGAAATCAAACCGGTGACCATGTTGCTCAGAGCTCACGCTCTAACCAACTGAGCCACTCAGCCGGCCCTAGACTTACATTTTTGATGTAGGTAATATCTTGGCTTTTATGACTATCAAGAAGTCATGAAAGAACAAGAAAGTAGTGTTCATATGTTTTGACTAATGTAAAAAAAACCAAAAAACACAACGTAGTCCTTGGCAGTTCTCTCAATTTTATAAATTACTAAAGTTTGTATTTAAATTAGACATTATTGGTCACTGTAAAATGGTGTGTTGACTTCATTACACAACGTTTTTAAAAGCTGGAGAAACACAGTCTTAATTCCGTTTTATCACACATGATAAAAAAAGTCTTTGTAATGACTATATTTCATGAGACTCCCCACCAGTTGGGTACATCGTAAACCTCTTATTCCACAGTTTATAGATGGAAATAACAAAACACATGGAGTTTAAGTCACTGGTTTTCACATTACAACAGCAGTGATGGAATTAAATCTGAGACACTATCTGTAAAGGAAGAATTTGCCTCCATATGTGAAACCCAGAGCCCTCCAAGTGTTTAGACAGAGAAGAGCTGTGGAAAGGATGTCACCCAAACTGGAGAGGGAGAGTCCCCACATGAGTCTCAGTTCTGTCCCATTGATGTTGCCTGCCCCTTTGGAGCTATCATTGTGCAGCATCTTGCTATGCTGTAAACAACAATGAAAGAATGTACTGGGTTCCCCTTAGCACAGCCCCAGCAGAATGAGCATTTTCTAAAGGACGTGAATAAATGCAAAAGGAAAGTCGAAAGGAAACAAACAGAGAATTAAGCCTCCTCCATTCACCTATCCTCTCCCATCATGTGATTTCGCTGAGCCCAAATTTCCCCTTCCTCCCCCTGCTTCCTTTCCACACAACCTCTTCCAATGTGCCCTCTGGAACTCTTTCTACCATAAACAAACTCCCACTTTGAGGCTCAGATTACTCAAATCCACAATATTCGTGACCTGTTCCTCAGTCCTGCCATCTGTCAACCTCCAGGTCAGTCCCCACATTCACTCAGGACATTTGCACCTGTCTCATTGTCTTTCTCGCCAGCCCAACTGCTGGGTGTCCTCAGACCTTATGTAGAGGACTCTTCGACACCCTAATGGCAGGTCTGTTAAGCACCAGAGTTTAATATCTTCCACTGCCTCCCTCAGGAAGCTGGAGCTTCCAAATCACTGAGCCAGGCAGCTTAAATAAAAGGTGATACCCAAACTTTTTGTCTCAAGCAGCCACCGTGGAACTGTGATATCATAGAATCAGAAATCACTCACTGATTGAGGAAATAGCTCTTATCAGGGGTTATTTGCTATTTGTTTTCCAATTGTCTGATTGTTTTTTGTATCTTTTTATTTCATTTCCTGATTTTTTTTTTTAGATTGAGTTTTTAATTTTTTTTGGTATTCCGTTTTTCCCCATTTGTTGGCTTTTTAAGTTGTACCTCTTTGTTTTATTTTTTAATGGTTGCCTTAGAGACTACCACATACATCCCTATCACAGTCTATTATACCAATTCCAATATAACATTTTAAATCATATACACCCACTTACCACCTTCTCACTTTGTGCTATTTTGTTGCTATATATCTTAAACATACACTGTACACCCCACAACACATTGTTTTATTTTTGCTTTAAACAGTCAATTTACCAGTAGAGAAATTTTTTAAAACAACAAGAAAAGGTTTTTTTATACTTACCATTTCTGGTGTTCTTCATTTCTTTGTGTAGATTTAAATTTCCAAACGATATTATTTCCCTTCAGCTTGAAGAAATACTTTAATATTTATTGTGGGGCAGGCCTGCTGGCAGCAAAATCTCCCAGTTTTTGTTTTTGAAAATCTTCATTTTCACCTTCATCTTTGCAAGATATTTCTACTAGTTATAGAGTTCTAGGTTGACAGTGCCCCGTCCCCCCCAACACACACACACATGCACAGACCAGCACATTAAAAATGTCATCCCATGGACTCCTGGCTTGCATTATGTCTTATGAGACGTCAACAATAATTTTTATTCTCTTACATGTAATGCGATTCTCCTGCCATCCCCACCAGCTAATATTAAGGCTTAATTTCAGCAGTTTGACTATGATGTGCCTACATGTGGTTATTGCTATGTTTAGTCTACTTGAGGTTTGCTGAGATTCTTGAATTTTCAGGTTGAAATTTTTCACAAGATTGGAAAATTTTCAGCCATTATATCTTCAAATGTTTTTTTTTTTTCTTCCTCAATCTCCTTCCTCTTCTTCTGTGACTCTGATTACATGTATATTAGATTACTTGATGCAGCCCCACAGGTCACAGAGGCTCTTAATGTTAACTTAAAAAGTCCTTTTTTCTTTCTGTCCTTCTGTTTTGAAAGTTTCTATTATCCTGTCTTCAAGTTCTTTGGCCTGAGCTGGTGCAGTGTCTAATCTGCTGTTAAACCAATATAGTGACATTTATACTTTAGATATTTTATTTTTCAGGTCTATAATTTCTAGTTGGTTCCCTTTTTTATCATTTTCATTTCTAGGCTGAGATTCCATATCTATCCATATGTTCATTTTCCCCTTTAAATCCTTGAACAGATTTGTAATAGCTCTTTTAAAGTCTTTCCAATAATTCCAACATTTGTCATCTTTGGATATGTTCCTATTAACTTTTTTCTTCCTGGTTATGGATCACCTCCTCTGGCTTTGTGTCACATCTAGTAATTTTTTAAATTACATGCTTTGAGAATGCTACTTCATGTTAAATTTTGATGTTTTTCTTTAGAGAATGTTGGGTTTACTTCTGGCATTCAGTTGATTTACTGAAGGGTCAGTTTGATCCTGCTGAGACTTATTACAGGCTTTGTAGGGGAGGTGTTGGGTCATCTTTGCTTTAGATGTGGCCTTTCTAGGCTCTTGGCTGAATGCCTGAGGTGTTCAACAAGTTCTTTTCATGCTGGCTGGTTGGAACTCCAACATCTTCCAGGCTTGCGTGACCCCTGGAAATGAATGAACAAATGAAAATATGGTACTTCTATATTTTCGTGCTCAGAACCCTCAAGCCATTGTTCTGTGCCCCACAGGGTCTCCTTTTGCATGTGCATAGCTTAGTCCTCAGCTAAAGACTCAAGAGAACTCTGAGAATTCAAGATTTCTGGAACTTCTTTGTGAAGCTCCCTCCTCCATGTGTTCTAGCTCCTAGATTTTAGCCACTTTGGCATCCTTGAGCCCAAGCTCTGTTTCCTCAGCCTAGTGAGACCACTGCTGTTGGTTTGTGCTCACTTTCTTGTGCCATGATTTGGAAAGTGCCCCCAGGCAGATTCCATAGTGAATGTGCTGTTTCCTTTCTTTCAAAGGTTACGACCCTGTGCTGTCAGTTCTCTACTGCCTGAAAACAGTTGATTCATATATTTTTTTTGCCCAATTTTGTCACTTTTATGTGGGGAGGGTGAACCTGACGCTTGTTACTTCATCAAAACCAGAACCAAAAGTAAGTTCAGGAGTTCTTAAAGATATAAGCCTTCATATTTTTTCATTTGTTCATTCGCTTTCCTAAGGTGACATAAAAAAATTTCTGCTCTTTCATTTTTTTCTCCTTTCCTCTTCCCTATATCTAGTTTTTCTTTTTAAAAGTCTCCTTAAAAGGAGTGACTCAAGGTTTGCTTATATGCAAATTGTGATTTTGGCAACTAAAGAAAATTTTTATATAGTAGTAAATCTGCATCTACTAGAATTTTACTTAAGGGGAATCAGAGAGGGGTTTATGTATATGAAGCATATAAACAGCTAGGTTTAGAAAGCCCAGTAAACATAGCTAGGAGAAAACTTGCTTACATTATTTTTATGCCATTTCCATGCTCATGTCCATATAAATATTCTTATTTCTCACTAATCAAGAGTGGTCTCAAAACCATGCTTTTTGCTCAGACAAGGCCAAAACACCCCAATTCAAGCTTCCTACGTTCCCTGAGCCTTCTGATTCCTTTTCTAGTGTAGGAAAGCATCTTGATCCCAAGCAAATAACAGGACTTTTATGGTCCATACTCTGAATATTTTATCACAATTAAAGCGAAACCCCACCTTTAAACCTGGCCACACCACCAGCAAGCTAGAAGGTAGTCAGCTCATTAGAGTTTCATAAAACAATGTTTTAGAGATGTAATCATCTTAACATTCATAATAAACAACTTGAATACATAATATAATAGGAGTTGATGCTCCCAAGGCTATGCAAGTATTGTGCTGAATTTTAGAGTAGGTCCTCAGGAGTCATCAGATTCAATCTCTTCATTTATATTTTAGCCACATGAGGTCCAGAGAGGCTGACGTTTCCACCAGCATCACACACCTAAAGGATCAGAGGCAGATTGATAGCTCGTGTTTTC